TCCCCCCACCCCTGGGGCTGTGTCCCACCCGTCTCCGCTCCTCTGCGAGTCATTCCTGGTCCTCCCCTTGCTGCCTGGGCTCGTCCATGGTCCCCGGTGTTTCCTTTCCCCCGGGCCCTTCCTCTGCCCCCCTGTGAGGGGGCCTCGTTACCGGGATTTGCTCAGAGCCTGTGCAGGGGGTAGCCGGGCCTGCGCTTTGATTTCATTTCTCCAATCCTCTTTCCGTTTCACTTTCCTCTTCCCCAGGCATACCGGCTTCCTGCCCTGCTTGACAGCATCTGCTTTAGGGCTTTGATTTTGGCAATGTACATAGTGTTGTCAAGTTTGACATATTCTGTCCTATGAAAACCACTGTTATTATCTTGCATCTGACTTTTTTTAGATCAAAAATGAAATGAAAATGTCGATGACTTAATGTTTTGGTTATTTTGGACAGGGACTTGCTTTCTCGCTTCTAGAGCAAGCATAATTGTAATTGGTTTCTTATCTGATGCATAAAATATTAAAAAGCAATTTGGCTTGTTGACTTTTCAGTTGTTCTTTGTGAAACAGTTGCTTTACTTGAATTACTTTGTTGCTATGCATACTTTTTCTATTTTATGGAAGGCTCTTTTACCCTATGAAAGGTAGTTATTACAGAAGTGAAAGCACTGTTCAATGCTTCTAAAGTAATGTTGAAATCCTTATTTATGAATGCTTGAAAAGCTTGATCTTGCCGCCTTGCTTGTGAGAATCAATATTTAAAAACAGACTGTCTTTTTTATGATACGTAAACAGTATGGTGTTTGACTGCAAGTGGTTTTACTGCCTAGCTGTGGGTTTACTTAAGGTGCTCTTTCAGAATTAAACTGTTATGTTATTCATGAAAGAAATACTATAATTTGTGTCTGTCAAAGCTGTGCAAACTTTCTTAGTGTTCAGAACTGATGTTTTACTTTCTGAACTTTCTGCAAAGTCATTAATCTTATTAGATTAATCCCTTGCATTTTCTTCTCCTCCTCTTCTACTCCTTCATCAAAACAAGCAAACAAAAGTGCCCTTGAATGCTGTGTAACTTTGAGGAAATAAATATGAGTAAGCAGATACAAACCTTAATGCAATAAACCTTTGTTCTTGTGTTTGCCCCTCAGGCTGTAACTGTTTTTTCTCTGAGCAATAAACAATGCTGATAAATGTTTCAATGAAAGCTTACAGCAAGAGATAAAAAAAAAATAAAATTACTACTACTGACCAATAAAATCTTTAAGGTTAATCCCATATGAAGAGATGGCAGTAATCTTAAACTTTTTATTTCTACTTTTTCACAACAAGAATTAAATGTCCTCTGTTTGTCTTTTACGTATGTGTGCAGATATCTGTATATGATCTGTATGATTTTTGTTACAGATGTATTGACACAGTCCATTTTTTTAAGACTGTGTCTGTAAGTGGTGTTTCTTCCTTGTGTTCCATCCAGTGTTATGGTATACATCATATGTTTATATTCACTATCTTGTTTAAAAAGCAAACAAACTTGTTACTGGGATAAGTGTACAATGACTACAGTGGATTTTTTTTTTAAGTGATTAATATATGCTAGATATCTGAAAACAACTTGGCTTGGTTTCATGTTAGTGAAGCTAGCCAGAGGTAGAGTTTATAATAGATAGGTTTTTTGAGAAATAGAAGCAATATATTGGCTAAAAAGACTATGCAACAAGCTCCTATTTCTTTCCGTAAGCTTCCAGTTTTGCCATTAGTGAGGCTACTGTAGCTGGTAGAAGAGGGAGGTAATTCAATTAAATATCTGAATCATCTGAAAGTTTTCTTAATTTGTGGGAAGGTTGTTCCTAACCATTACGAAAATACACTGTCATATATGTAAGTATATCTTCCAGTTCATCCTGCAAATAACAAGTGATATTTCTTTGTCAAGATGAATATTAACACTTGGTCTTAAAGGTTAACTTCAGTGTATGGAACCATTCACATAACTCATTTGAGTGCCTTGTTATAGGTTCTGGATACAGAAGTCTTAATGTATTGCTATTTCACACCTGGGTTTCCTTTACAACACTGAATTTAAGTTTTGGTTTTTTTGTTGTTGTTTTTTTTTTTTTTCTTTAAAGAGTAACATTATGTGGATGAACATTTCAGGGATGCTGTGTGGAGTAGGTATCCTAGTGAATGTGTCAGTGGTCAATGTGTATGATTTGGTTATCATCATTTGAGAGCATTTTATAACCTAAGAAGCTCCATTCAGCATTAGGTTCTTGTGCGACTGCAGGCCCAAGCAGGACTGGCATACTGTTGCTAGATCCAGGAATACCTGAGCTCAGATGACTGAGACCAGGGATCAGCTTTGGCTTATCCAAGGTTGTTCCGGAGACAACGATGATGTAGGAGTGTGAATATATACTTGTGCTTGCAGGGTACCCCTTTATTCTGGCCCTTACAGGGAGCAGGCACATACTGGTGCCTTGGGAGCCTGCTTTCTAAAGGCCTTTCCGTAATATGTTTTTAAATGTTGGTATTGCTTGAAGGACAAATCTGAACTGGCTTGTGTAGTGGTAAACTCAGTGCAAAGTTGTGTACAGTTCCTGCCCCAAGCAACTTCTCGACTATGTTAGAAGGGAATAGTGTTGAGCGTAGAGAAAGGATGTAACTTAAGTTGTGTGACAGTTGACTAATTTTGTGTTCATTTTTTTCTTGAAGTTTTGATGTGTATGTTCTTACTTAAGATTTAGCTAATGATTCAGCTAGATGAGAAGAAAGAACATGTGTGAACAGAAATAAGGATGAGATTGTGGAGAGCATGTGAAAGGGGGTAGAGGTGGAGACTGAGGAACAAGCAGGCAGGAGATCAGTGGATCACCTAAAGTTTTTTTTTTGAGTGAGGGAGGGGAAAAAAAAAGGAAGATATCTGCATTGCTGCTCTTTATGAAACATTTCACAAAACCAGTTCATAAAGCAGCCTGAATTTTATATTCCAGCCTAGGTTGTCTGATGAGAATTGGGGCAAAAAAGGCCAAGAAGGCAGATGTTTCTCCCTTCCTGGGACTGTAGAAAGTGAGGGATGCGTTTTATAAATGCTTATTTTGACACAACTGTGAACTGAAGAAGCTGCTGCCTCTGTAGTATGTCTTCATTGCAAGTGTTTGGGTTGCCATGCAGTGACCCTGATAGGGAAATCTCCCAAAGTTAAAAATAACTTGGGAAAAGTGGTTATTTTTAACCTAGGTTGTTCTTCAGTACTGCTGATGGCACAGCCACACAGACAGTTGTACTGGCATAACTTGGAAGGGGCGGCTTCTTACCTAGTCACCTCTGCTGGAGGGTATCACTTCTGCTTTGTTTTAAGCAAGAAACATTTGTTGAACTGAGTGTTACAGTGATCAAATAGTCTATTTCATGAAGCAGCGTTTGGTGTTGTTACATGGCTTAATGTGGTGTTGGCCCTGGAACTCGGTGCCCTTTTGTTTCATTGGAAGAGAGCTGATTTCACACAGTCATGGTGTGAACTGGATAGGGTAGCTGGTATAGTTTTGAAGGAGAACGTGTTTTGCAAGTTTATTCAACTAGACCAGCTGGCCCGAGTGAGAGGTTGCACGTTGCTGGGCTGGAAACAAGCTTCTTGGGAATGGAGGGGGAATTCCTGAAGCTGGTGTTGGTGTTGAATGCTTCATCTTGTGAAACCTCAACTTCGAGTGTTCTTCATGGAATAAAAAAGGCAGAGTCTTAGTGTACATCTTATGATGTGTTTAGTAAACGCTTATGAGGCAGGTGAAGGTTGAATTGGCTGGTACCGTCTCATTTTCAGAGTTTTTTGTTGACTTTGGTGTTCTGCAAGGCTATGATATGTTACTTGGTATCCTTAAACTCTATGCTAAAGCTATGGCTTTTTTTTTTTTTTTAGTAACTTTCCCAGTCTTTTAACGTAAATGTTATGTTGATTGCAGATGGATACATGAGCAAAGAACAAGTGGTGTGTTTTTCTCTTCCTTCTAGTCTAAACCTTTATTGGAATGCTAACAGATATGACATGGAGCCCTTAGAGTGGCATTATTGGTAATGCTGATGCAGTCATTATAAAATGTCTTTCACGTTCTATAACATCAAAAGGAAATGGTAGATACATATAAAAGTTAGGTAACTTCTTTGCTGTGTTTTTTTTTTTTTTCCAAGTTCCTGATACCACATTGATCACTGTCTGTGTCACAGCCTCTTTGTACTACCTACATGTTACTTCCTTCACTTGCCTCTGCTTAATCTTTTTCTTGGCTTTCTGCCTGCTCAGTTCTTGGTGCTCTTGAGATGAGAGGCATTGCCATTGTACTATGGGGCTGAGTTAAAGGAGGATTCAGAGAGCAGTGTGAATTTAGAGGCAGCCTTTCTAAAAGGGAAAGCATTAAAAAAGGGAGGTGACAATAAAAAATTGAATATAGCTTCTTCCTCTGCAGCAGAGCTTCTTTACGAGCAGCTCACTTTAAGGCTTCTTTGCTCATGGAGGAACAGTTATTCTGCATTATATTCTGGCTCCACTTCAGTTTAAGTAACCTTCACGTATAGACGGTGTTTTTCTAGTGTCTGCAAGACCACACGAACAAGCTAGCATGAGAGAGCCTTACAGCAGGTAGACATGTTCTACTGTCTTCTACTTTGCAGACTATGGCAAGTTAGGTCTATGCTACTAGGCTACTAGTTTGCAAGGTAAGGGTGTGAGTTGTGGTAGCCTAGGCTTCTGCATTTTAAGGCTATAGCATCTGCTCTTCTCACTTCTGTGACTGTGTTACTGAGTTAATTCAGGAAGCTGAACCAGCTTACTGCTCATGTTTTTTTCTGCAGGAGGTGGCAGAAATTCAGGTGGAAGAAAACAGTAAGTCCCCCTTCAGATTGGCTGAAACTTCTGGGGATCCCTACCCTACCACACATTTAAGTGTAGGGTAGTTGCTTATGCAACAGCAGTTACTGAGAAATAAGTTGTTGATATGTTAATTACAAGGTGAAAGTATTTCGTGGTAACTTATTTGTGGAATTTAGACTGTAGCTGCTAGGCTGCTTTAAAACAGAACAGGTTTTGCAGTGAAGTGAAATGTTTCCAAGAACAAGAATGCCCAGAGGGTTTGCATAGGGCTGTTCACCTGACTGAACTCGTTTTAGGATGTCTTTATCTCGTTGCATGTTTCACAGTTGCATTGCTTGCTACTTTTTGATATCCTGAGAATGCACCTTCTTTTCCACCCTCGTCCTTAGCAATGTGTGGTTTTTTTTTTTTGTTTTTTTTTGTTTTCATCTTGCATGTTCAATATGACATCCAGAGGGTAGATCTAGATCCAATTTAGTAGAGGTGTGATAGAGAGAGGACAGTAAGCCCCCATGATTCTGGCTGGTAAATGGGAAAGAACAGGAAGGGAACTGAAAGCTTTTTATTATCAAACCTGTTCTTTTTCTTCCCCTCAATTTTCTGTCAACAGGCCTTCTTTTCGTCTTACTGCTTCCCCTTCTGCTTCCATGTTGATTGTCCCCTCCCTGCCCTGCACATTGCTGTACCTCTGCTCTTCTCTGATCAATGCTCCTAGTCATTATCTTTAGAATTTTTTATTTTATGTTTTTTTTTTTTTTAATTCTTCCACCTTATGTTTGGAGGATTCTTTTGAAAATGCCTGATGCTGGGCAGGCTCAGGCCCATTGTTTGCCAAACATGGATTACATTAATCCTGTCATTCAGCTTTCCTCAAATGACAAGGTCCTGGTATTTTGTCAAAATAATACATCAGGTGGTAAAATAATGACTTGTTTAGCAGTTGTTCTTGAATGTCTGCAAAGAATATTTGTGTTGCCTTTTAGAAATTAGTTGGCTTTTTTCTCCATTATTTGAAGAAATTTTAAAGGATGGCAATTTTAAGTAATGTATGTGGTGGTGGTTGGATTTGTTTTTTTTTTAATCCTATAAATGACAGAGGGGTAAGAAGCTGTTTACAGACCTTTGTAACTACAGAAAATATTTTCTGATATCCTCAATTAATACCCCGCCTTGTGTTTTTCCTTTTTTTTCAGTGATGACGCTATGAGGAAGGCTGGTGTTGCCCATAATAAATCCAGCAAAGATATGGAGAGTCATGTGTTTATGAAGGCCAAAACAAGGGTAAAGCATCTCTATTTGTTTCCAGAAGTTACTGGGGTGTCAAATGAAGTTTGGAACAACCCGCAGAAATAGCAAACCTGGTGCACTTAGTTAACTGTCTCTGCTTAGAGTACATAGTTATGCAAAATTTTTGATTTATATGTGCTTCTTTTACCCTGAGGGGAAGTGAGGAGTTTTGCACCCAATATATGCATCAAACGGGCCTTCAGTCCAAGACAGCTTTCCTGATGCTGAAGCATTTAATGTGTATATAGGACCACATGTAATTCTTATCTGAAGACTTGTGTGTAGTGAACTGCATGGAATTTCCTTTATCTGTAGTGTAGCACCATTCCGTATGACCAGTTTGGCCGTCAGGAGAGACTAAGATATCAGTGAAAAGGCTGTGTCAAGAGTAAGATGAACGGAAGTGCTGTGGTCTCTGTGAAAGTCTGGTTATCATGTACAATTCTAGACTCTACCAAAATGTAAACTTCTTTCCTGGATCTGTGTTATGAGAAATTGGATGCTGTTGCTGTCTCCAAACAAGCCACATTTGAGAGAGAACTTGTCTTGATGAAAATTTTATTATGCTGATGCCACAAATTTATGCCTGCTGATGGCAACCTCACTGGTGAATTGGTAGTTTCATGGGCAGGAAGGCTATCTCAGCCCTGTGCAGTTTCTCTTACACCTTATGAAGCATGCTAATAAAATGCTGCAAATAATATTGTTTTTTTCACTTCTGATGCTTCTATCATGTGTTAGTCTTTAAAGTTGTTAGCTTGTATTTGTAAAACTGACTTAGCTTAAAAAAAAGTAGTCTGAATGTGGCAGAGTTCAAGGACTAAAGTAAGTCAGTGTACCAAGTAAGCAGGTTCAATCCTTAAGAAAAAGGGATTAGAGCAGGTAAGAAGTGGAAAATTGATGTATTAGTTTATGTTCACGTATTGTGATCCTATTAGTGTGACTTTCATGGAGGTTCTTTCTAGTGAATTGTGTGGCTTCTTGGCCTTCTTGCACCATCAGCCACAATGACTTATTAGTAAAAATATTCTCACTTAGTTAATGAACAGACCATTCCTTGCAAGTGAACTGCACTGAAAAGCCCACAGTGATTGTAAAGTAAATTCTGTTATGTTGAGGAAGAATATTGAAGAACCAGAAAGTCATGGATGAAATGTTTTTATTTCATATGCTAAACCACTCATTTTTCACCTTTAGGAGGAATATCTTTCTCTTGTGGCCAGACTCATTATCCATTTTCGAGATATTCGTAAGTAACTGGTTTTGGTTTGTTGTTTTTTCTTTTCTCAGTCCTAGGATTGCTTATCCCATCTTCCCAAAAAAGTAAATTTTAGGGTTTGTATGTGTGATTCTGCATGTGACTCTTCACAAGTTGCTTTAAAATTTTTTTCTGTAACATACATGCTTAAATTCTAAATACTGTTCCTTTTACACATCCATCTATAATTGAAAAGTCTTTGAGAAATTATTTAAACTAACTACTTTTCCCACCTTCCTAATTTTTTCCTGTATTTTTACTTTTTTTCTATTGTTTATGTAGGGTTCTGGTTACCAAATTGGCTTAGGTTAATGTATTTTGTTAGCACTACAATAGGCAGTGTTGGTTTTTGGTTTTTTTTTTGTAATTATTATGTGAATATATTTCTTGTAGAGAGTATATCTGAAGGGCCAAATTTATATGTGATAGGATTAACAAAGGCAATTAATTGTTCTTCCTTTGCAGACAACAAGAAGTCTCAAGCCTCAGTCAGTGGTAAGAGCTCCTTTTTTTTTTGTTTGTTTTTTTTTCTTCTCTCCCCTGCCCCTATTTCCAAATAGAACAGCATAGAAATAAGGGCTCTTTTGTACTAAGTATAAGGTGGCTGTGGATTCCATAGCTGGAACATTAAATGCTGCTGGAGGAAAGGCAAGGTAGCGCGATAGACTTGGAGTTGTCGAGTGATGAGGGTAGAAGGCTGGGACAGTGTTTTGGATGTAACACAGGAGACGTTGTTTGTTTCCCTGTTTGTACTTTTGGTAGCTCGCAACACTAAGATTCTTGAAAGAACAAGAGTAATTGAAAATAATCTTCTGCTGAGCAGTCTAGGTTCCTCCCTGGTACCAGCTTTGGGTTCCTCACTGTGTAACATCAGAAGCAAGTGTTGTGTTTGTGGGGTGTACGCACTCTGCCATTTGGCTGAGGTTAGATCTGATCATGTCGTCTGCCTCTGTGCTAATTCTTACAGCAGTGTATGTTAGGAACACAGTACGATCCTCTATTTTTATCCCCCTGTAAGCTAAATATGCAATGTCTGTGACTGATTAACATCCAGCCTGGACAGTTTGAAATTACTTTATAAGTATTCTTAAGAAAGAGGGGGTGCTGCATTCTGTACCTGATTAATATTGTTTCTGCACCCCATGCTGTGTTTTGCCCTCTTGAATTGCCATTCCCTCTTTGACTTCACTTTTCAGAGTGACTGGGATTCAGATTATGACAATTGCCTTGAAAGGCACTGAATTTATCCACTGCATAATAAATGTGATGTTATAGGGGGGAACAGTATAGCAACATACTTTCTCTGGTCTGAGCACTGCTTCTCCATGTTGACCTCGGGAGGAAGAGGCAAAATTGTATCCACTCTCTTCTTGGTTTTTTGAGATTACAAGCTGGATATCCTCATGGAGTTTTGTGGGCAGCTTGTTCTGACTTGCATATAAATGAAGAGGTGGCTAATAAGTTCCTTTTCTCTAATGTATTTAGAATCTATTTTGAAGTTTGCAAATCTGAAGCACTTTAAATAATCTCTACTCTATTTACAGAGAGGCAAAGACATGCCAGAAGCCTCTTGTGGTCTCACAGGCAGAGCAGTGAATGTTAGATTCTCAGTGTACTGGATCTAGTTACAGTCTGAAGCTGACAGATCAGAGAGTGGATGATGGAGAACGGAGGATTTTGGGGAGGTCGTTGCATGGCTGGCTGCATATTTGGTAACTATTTTCTTTGTAGATCCGATGAATGCCCTGCAGAATCTAACTGGGGGTCCCCCAGCAGGGGCGCCTGGAATGGGCATGGCTTCCCGAGCTCAGGGAACACCCATGAGTGGGATGAGTAGCCTTGGCCCAATGGGACAGCAGATGAGTCTCCCAGGGCAGCAGCAGCCTCCTGGAACCTCGGGAATGGCCCCTCATGGTATGCCTGGTGTCTCTACAGCTACTCAGCAGAGTAAGTGTTCAGTTTGCTTCAACCACTGAAATTGTTAGATCAGCCTTTTGTTACATAACTGTTTTCCACAAAGATGCTGAAGAGATTTCATACTTCTGGATAAATCAGCCAGGTGAACTGCAGGAAGAATTGATTTCAAATACTTGCTACCTGATGGGGTAAATGTCTTCCATAGCATAGTGAGGAACAGTCTAGCTGTTGTATGAGCAAATGCTTCTTTTGTCCTACAGGATGTCAACTTCAGAACTTTGTTTTTGTAGAGCTCACCTATTTTTCCTAAATGTATGATGCACAGAGGTCACCAGCAGGAAGCACATTTCCTCCTGTATGTTTTTACATTCTCTGCTTAGGTTGCTGACTTAATACAGGCAGAGAGAATTAGAAGTTGGTAGTAGGAAGCGTCATTAATTCCGCTGTTAATGTGCCTCATCCATTTGGGGAAGCAAAAGTATATGCTGCTAATGAAGAACATTAGCGTACTTTTGGGATTATCTTAAATTATTATGACTTATACTGGGTAACTGTCTCTCTCACTGTTTGGGTCTCATGTTTTAAGTACAGTCTACCTTCTTTTTAGCCCAACTTCAGCTTCAGCAGATAGCTCAGCAGCAACAGCAGCAGCAGCAACAATTCCAGCAGCAGCAGGTGGCTTTGCAGCAGCAGCAATTCCAGGCCCAGCAGTCAGCCATGCAACAACAGTTTCAGGTCCAGCAGCAGCAGGCAGCAGCAGCTGCAGCAGCCCAACAGCAGCAGCAGCAACAACAGCAGTTGCAAGCCGTCCAGCAGCAGCAACAGCACATGCTGAAACTGCAGATGCAGCAACAGCAGCAAAACCAGCAGCAGGTGATGACAAAAAATTACCACAGCAAATTGAGGGGATCTGTGTTCAGTTACTAGTCAAGTGCGGCTTGGCTTGCATGGAAATACTGAATATCAGCTCTGCTGGTGATTAACATGTTTCCACTTTGGGGTAGGACTTCAGTTTAGACTTGCAAGTTAATTGGCAGCAATATATTACATCCCAGAGGAAAGGCTTAACAGTTGTTTGGTTGCTTTCTTCTGTCATAGCAACAGAGAATTAAAACCTTTGTCTCTTTCTCTTTATAAACATCAGGGTACTCTTTCATTTTGACAAAAACAGGGATGTGGGAAAGAACTGAAAGCACTTGTATTACTCTAGAAATAGTGGCTGTTTTGTCATTGTGTGAATTACACATTGCCACTTTAAAAAATGTGTGCCGAGCACATTGTATATATGTTATCGTCCTTAGGCACGAAAGCAGAAGAGGAAACTTTGTCTGTCATGCACTTGTGCAGTTTCTGTTAAATAGTGGTGATGGTGCAGGCTGGTTATGTTTGAAGAAGTGCTTCTGAGTCCATTTGTATAAGAGAAGGTGACGGACTTCATCTTTGCTTTTGAAAACTATTTTAGTAGTGAGACAAGCTTGTAATATTGAAGCCATGGGATGTGTACTATGTAGAGTTGAGATATACAAAGAATGAGTGAATAAAAAGGTTAGGCTTTCCTTTTGGACTTAAAATCTCAGCCTGATGTATTAGGATTCTGTTTGCTCTTGGTTTGGTTTGTGCTATAAAAATAAGGCTGCTGTCGCATTGCTGGAAGCTTTAGCATCCTGGCTTTTCCTGCTTTTCAGATTCAGCAGCAACAGCAGCAGCAACAACTACAGCGAATTGCCCAAATGCAGCAGCTGCAGGCAGCACAGGCTATGCAGGCACAACAGCAGCAGCAACAGCAGCAGCAACAACAGCAGCAAATACCGCAACAACAGATACAGCAGCAGCCGCCACCTCAACAAGTAATGCAACAGCAGATGCAACAGATGCAGCAGCAACAACAGCAGCAACAGCAGCAGCAGCAACAACAGCAGGTTGCTCAGGCACAACAGTCTCAGCTTCCACCACAATCCCAGCCTCAACCCCAACCTATGGTATCTCAGCCACAGGCAATCTCAGGACAAATTCCTAGTCAGGTTATGCCTGTTACTCTTACGCCACAGCAAATAAAAGTAATGCAGGTAAGGGCTAGTGACCAGCTAATTGTTGGTTCATTATGATCCTCTAGAGAAATAAAAAAAATTTGTTGACTTTTGCTAATGATGAAGTAGGAAAAAACATAGCTTATCAAGAGAACTGTAGTTAGCATGTTACTATTAGAGGTTTATGTCTGGGCCTGCCAGCAGAGAACAGTTTTGTGTTTAAGAGTAGAATTTCTGGAAATCTGTGAAAATCATTTATGCAGCTAATATTTAAAAATAATTTCTTGTCTTACTATTGAATGGACAAGTAAAGAAAAGAAAAAGAAACAAGCTCTGGTTAAAGAAAAATCACCTCCATGATGTTTGCTGTTCTAGAACATGAGCAAGTGCTTTGAAGTGCCTAGTGCATGTGTCTAGAGCCAGTGTTGGCTCTCTAGCATGCTGGCTTTGCTTCTGCTGCCATATTTAGAGGTTTTGGTCAAAGTTTAAGATACCAGTAGTTCCTGCCTTGAAGAGAGTGTGGACAAGACAATGGTTTTACTCTGTTGAACCTCTTGCTGGGTTGTCCTCTCAATGGTGTGGATTTTTGGACTATTGCATTACAGTCAGGTTTTTTCTGGGCTCTGTATGTGCTGTTGTGCAAAAGCTCAGATGTAATCCCAAGACCTACTTTTCTTTGGGCCTTGCTGGGAGGAGTAGAGTGTCAGCCACACTTGAGAAATTATTGACCCCACATGGATGAGTTGATACATCCACTTTGTGCTCTTACCAGCTAAGCTAGGAGTAGCTAGAAGTCATGTACATCACACTGACAGTCATAATGAATGTATAAACCTTGGAAATGCTGGTCACTGGTAGGTGCCGAATAGTGTGCTTGAGGGAAATCAACACATACGTGGTTAACTATGTTTGCTAGAAAGTTGAATTACCTAGTATTGTTATAGGAAGACCTGATAGTACAGGGAAGAAGTTGCACAAAGAAGTCTAGTCTTGGGTGCACAGTCTATGGGAAGACTGTTCTAAATGTTAGAACCAGGGGAACCTGTTTTCATAAAGAAAGCTCAAAAACTCTAAGGAAGAGTATGTGTGTGGGGCTGATCTTGTTTCCACACCCTTTTTTATGATTATAGTCAATATAATTGAAACAGAAGTGTTATACTCTAATCAGATACATATCTTTACTTCATGCTTTCTTTTCATACTCAAGGTAAGAGCTCAGCTGGTCCAGCAGCAGCAGGCAGCAGCAGCAGTGCAAGCAGCTCAGGCCCAAGCTGCTCAGATGGGAGCTTCAGGGCAGGTAAGGGCCTGGGAGCCAGTATCACTAGTTATAGGCCTGTAGCAAATGCATGCTAGAGATGAGCATGGAGATGGGTTTCTGGTGGCTTTCTGATGAGGGATCTGACATCAGTCATCCCCTTTATAAAGGGGATATGGGCTTTTATGCTGATTCTCCTTTGCCTGGAGTCAGAGGCAGGATTTCGTTGACAACCTCTCTGTGCATGCTCTCTGTCCCGAGTAGGTAAGATTGTTGCCTGTACTGACACAGGAATGCACATCAATAAGATGGCCTACTGTGGTCACGCTACAAGTCTTGACTGTTGGTACCTGTAGTGTATCACCTCTTCTTCTGTTAAACTTTCTTAGGTGACTGCTTTGTTGTGTAAACTGATTTCTGTACTGTGAACCTTTGCCTGCTATCTTTACTCACATGTGATTTACCTTCCATCTCCATGTATTGACCATAAAGAATAGTATAGACAGTGAAATCTCTCTGCACTTCCCTTTCATTCCTTTCATCTTTCATCCTTTTTCTGAGTGAAATGGGCAGTAGATATAGATTGCTCTTGGTCTGGATGTGAATTGTGAAGAAAAAATGGCATGTGTCACAAGTGCAGAGTTACATTTTTAAAAAAAAAAAAAAGTGCTGGGTGAAAGCTTATTGTCTAACACAGTTTTCTTATCCTGCAATACACTTGTAGCCCCAGTGATTGTTCCTTGATGTGTGTCTGGTATGAAGGAGACATGGGGAAAAAAATTGGGAATGGCTTGAGCTGAACCCCTCATCCCATTTTCCACAAGAATATGAAATAGTCTTTCGTGGCTTACCTCTGTAGTGTTTCATATTGAGGCATTTTACAGATGTGGGTAAGTACAATTATCGCCGCTTTGTAGATGAAGAGACTGAGGCAGACAGATGAAATGAGGTTGACTAGGATTAATGGCAGAGTTCTTTTCGTATACCCAGACTTTCCATGTCTGCATGCACCATTTTCCCTTCAGTGCACAAGTAATATTATAGATTCAATAAGATGTTTGGAAGCTTTTTACATGGACTGTGAAAACAATTGGTTCTTCAACATACATCTCCCAGACTTGGGAGTAGTGTCTTGTACTGTCATGTGGCCCACATCCTTGTTGGTGGCTCAGTTCTGTTCCTGTATTGGTCCTTTTGCTTGTGTCAATGTAACACAGGATGTAAAAGCTGAGCAGTGGTAAGTACAGTTGGTACAGTACTGGCAGCAATGCAGAATTGTCTTTCTACAGTTGAAATGTGAATTCAAACTTCTGTTTCTTTCTTAAATAATTTCCAGGTGGGAGCTACAGGGACTTAGGCTGACTGGGAGGAGACTCTGACTTTTTTTTCTTTTTACTAACTTAATGGTGCTCTTTTCAACTCCTAAGCGGATGGATTGTGCTTATGTAGACTCAACTTAATTCTTGCCCTGTTTAGTGAATTCATATGCCAGTAGCTTAACAGCGCAGTGCATTTGAAGAGTTTTGGGTAATAAGATGGTTGACAGCAGGTTTTGTATTGCAGCTTTATTCAGACACGTGTAGTAGACTCAGGGGTTGCTCATTATCTATCACGGTTGGAGTTTAGAAAGTTCCACATGCAGGCTTTACTCCATTTATGTTCATGTCATTGCAATATGAGTCTACTGAAATTCACTTAACATTGTGAAGTCCAATACTTAAACGGGTTTCTTGTACTTGTGCAAATATTTTCTGTATATAATACTTAGTTTTAAGATTGTGGCTGTATACAGTATTACAGTGCAGCTTTGGTGTTGAGAGTGTATATGGATTTTCTTCAATTTGTAAGAAGTCTCTTTTAAGAGTACATTTTGCTTTCTATTTAATACATTTTTTTCACTAGCACCAGCATCTTTAATAAATCTGCCTTGGTTTCTTCATTTGGTTCAGGGAAGCTTTTGTTATAAACAAACCCTATCCTAATCTTTGCTTGTTATATTTAAACTTAGTCTCTAGGGGCATTCCGACTGGGAGGAGTTGGTATGGCTGCGTTTTTCCTTTTCCGTAAAGTTTCTGTTCATCCTTCCTACATAAAAGTAAAAGCAATCCCAGGTTTAAACGTGGATCCATGTGAGTTTTGAATTTCTTCTCTAAAGTTGTAAAGACATCGTGCAGGTCAGTGTTACCCTGCTTGGGTGTCCAGTCCTCGTGAGCATGTAACTCACAGCTGAAGCTGGTAAATAAAAGTGTCCTAGGAACCACAGAGTGCTACACAAGTCCTTGCAGCACCAAGAGAAAAATCTGTAATCAACTGGAGTTAAGTATTGAAGTTTAAATCACTGTTGTGGTGCAACTCCTTCAGGTACTCAGAATGCAGATGGCTTTTGCTCTTTGAAAATCAGAGCTGCCTTTAGTGGAGTGATAGTGGCACAATACTTACATGCGCTCACCAGAAGCTGCATTACAGAATTCAGAATCTTTGGATTTTAGATGAAAGAAAATTAGAGGTTCAGGATTCTAATTGTTATAATCCACTTCATTTTTTTCACATAATGGGTTTATCTCTTACAGTGGAGGGTCATTCTCTTCCTCTGCTTGCTCTCTGTTTTTATGGAGTAAAAGTCTCAGTGCTATAAACTGAGACAAATCAGTTTCACTTGTGGAAGAGGGTTTGCCTTCAGTTTAAATCTATTTCAGAAGTACTTGAACACTTCTGGTTGTCTTCTGGTTTTAGACTGACAAGAACAACTCCTTCATGGATATATTGCTTTGCATAAAATGGATGCAATCTTTGGAACCCCCTTTCCGGACTCCTTTGTCAAAGGGTCACAGGTGTAAATCAGCTGGAGAATGGGAAACATAGATTACTTTTGTTAAGAGAGTGGAATTGATGTCATTTTATATATACACACTTCCTTTCCAAAGCACACATTTCAAATAAGACAAAAAATAGAAACAATCAAAACCAAAATTATGTGCATAAATGTTTGACCAGTCACAACACAACAAACAGCTGAAAGCCTTTGAATCTGAGTTTGTCATGCTGGTGTTCAGTGGTTTGCCAGACACTTAAACTGTGAATATGCTTCTAATTTCCTTGACCTCAGAGGAAGTAATCTAAATCTTCACACTTTGGTGGTGTGGCATGAGAAACAGGACCAAGATGGGACATGTGGGTCACCATAACATCCCTGGGATTTCACACGCTCTAGAGATCCATGTGCATTCACGAGGGTCTAAGATGGGGTGATTGTGCCTGGAAGGATATGTTGGGTTTTCCACCCCCCAGCAATTTCCCTTTTTTTTTCTGTTGTTGTTGTTGTTGTTGTTGTTAGGGTTGTGTTGCTTCACCAGCTCTCATGTTGATACTGTAGCTCTTCACTGCACTTTGTAGCATCCACCTGTGCTTTGTGCCAGTGCTGGGTTGTTGTGTTTGCCTGTGGTGGCTGTTGCATGCTGTGTGTGTACATGTGCATGTGTGTGTGATGTCTGAAGCGCTGTCATTTTTTTCCCTTTTGAAATCCTGTCTCTGACCATCCCCCTTTGCCTGGATGGAACAGGACTGCATTGCTCTGATGTTGTGAACTAACAGCTGTGCTGAATTTGACACTATTTTCTTTATCAGTTATTGCTTTCCTTTTTCAGTCTTGCTATGTTGTATTTAATTTTATTTATTTTTAACAATTGTAAGCACATGCATTCTCTGACTTTCTAGAGACATGTTGCTGGCTGCTTCAGTCCATTTACATAGAACACTAAGCAAGAATGCCCCAAACCATTTGCTGAAAGGAGACTTTATTAACTCATAGTTTAGCTAGGGCCTGTATAGGTTTCTTGGTAATATGTATGCTGAAAAAAAAAAAAAGTAGCCCAGAGAACTTTACTGTAGGACTTTGAAGTACCAAACAGAAGCTCTTTTACTGATAAGTCCATCCGACAAAGCTACCTGAATACTACCTCAGAAATATGATGTATTTGCTATAGATTCTCAGCATATATGGTGTAATATCAAATTTTAAGCAACAGAGGGCTGGCTGTAGAGATATATCTGATTAAACCTGTGTGGCTCATGCAGGCTGATGGTTCTGAAAGGCACTTCTAGATGCTGCAGTGCAGCATAGTCCTAAGACTTTTAAAATACAAATTCTAATGCTAACCTTCATAATTTGTCCTAAATGATTGTACTTTAGAGTGTGCTCAGTCTATAAATCTGGAGAATCAAATAGTGCATGAATAAGCTTGAGGCAGATTGTGGACTCAGAATATTTTAGCACAGCTTAGTAGTAGAGGAATGGGAATTTGTCAAAATGATGGAAATTACAAGGATATATTTGACTTATTATGTGGGTTATAAAAGGAAGGAAATAGCTTTTTCAAACCCAGAAGTCCTTTTTGTTGCCTTTGGCATTGTTACACTGTCATAGGTTAGGTTGGTCTGAAATTTTGCTCACTGTGGAGCATTCCTAATGAGAGTTGCTGATGAACTGTCTGCCAAATTCTTTTATAATGAAGGGTGGCACACGCAAATATTACTAAATCCTTTGAGTCGACAGTGGGGGAAAGCACATCAGAAACCTATAGCGTTATATAGCTTCTTATATGGAGCATTCTTGACAACAATCTCAGACTACTTATTTCAAAGAATTCTAGAAATTCAAGGTGTCAGGCAAAATTTAGGAAGAGCCCTTCGTACAAATGATAGCATAGTCAACCCTTGACCCATGAATTTGAATCTACTCTCTCAAGATACATAGAATTCATTAGATGCTTTCTAAAAATTGGTAGAAAGGATATAAAAAGGAGTTTGAGTTATAAGCTAGCATGTTAGGTTAACCTTTAGAGAAAAGCTCACTAACCTTCCCTTCATGCTCCCCCTCCCCCTAATTCCTGGAGGTTGCATGTGCTTCTCATCCTGCCAGTGCACTGCATTTCTTGTTTTGCGATTACTTTTGTCTGTTGTCCCTCTGTCCTCAAAGATGATCACCGCACCTATGGCCCGAGGTGGGATGCAAATAAGACCACGGTTCCCGCCTACCACCGCTGTGTCTGCTACACCGCCAAGCTCCATTCCTTTGGGCGGACAGCAAATGCCACAGGTATTTACTGAGTCAAAGCACATTGTGTCAGGAATTGTGCAAAGCATTCAATACGTGATTGTATAGCACTTGCTTTCGAGGAAGGGGAAGTTCACTTTTTTGTCAAACAACTAACTTGCTGGTGTTACTCAGGGTTTGGTCTGGTCTGTTTTTTTATGGATCCTTTTTCATTTTAAATAATAGGTTTTCTGAGAGCTTGGGATATCACATAAAGCCTTTTTAAAGCAGTATAGATCTTTATTTTAACATTTGAAACATTTCCATGTTCATAATTGATTCAAGTCTCAAATTAGAACTTTGTGGTTTCTATTTAGTCTTTGTCCATGCTCCACAAGTGTGCATTTATGAGGGTGTTGCAAGTCAGTACTGCAGCATACTGGCTGAGTTGCGTGGGACCTTACTTATGTGTTCATGCTCTGTACAGGTGCTTCTTTCGTTGATAGTGAACTTGGCTCCTTTCAGTTTGAGTAGCTTCTTGGTATGGTATCAGGGACTAAGAAAACTGGAGCTGTTCTTTTCTTTCACGGTTGTGTAGAAGGAACTGCCAGAAGGATTCCACTCGTACCTGCATCAGAGAAGAACATATGTAGGCAGGCTGGCAGCACCTATCCAGCTGTTGCTGGAAGATGCATGAGGTCAGATGCGCACATCTGCCTGGTGCAAGTCTGGATCTGCTAAAGACCTCACAGTCATGTTTTGCAAGCAAAATGTGTCGTTTTGGGGAGTAAGAATGGGGAGAACTATAATGAAGTAGAATTGAGTTCTTACCAGTAAGTCACAAAACGAGGCACTGCTCTGCTCTGCAAAAGCTTGCTGAGCCCTATGTGATTGGTGTTGGTTTAAATATGTATCATATTAAGATGCTGGAATAGCGTTCAACTGCATTTTTCTATCTGTTATTCACGAACCTCAGGTCTTGTTCTTCTGGGTGCTAATTTTCAAACTTATTACCAGTACAGTTCTAGTTCTTAATACCGCTGCATTTTGTTCATAGGTTTAATGAAAGTTTCTTCACTCTTTGCATTTTTTGTTTCCTTTGCAAGCTTGTCATGGGGCTGTGGAATGTCTGAAACTCTGCTTCCTAGTGCTGCAGCATCAACTTTAGTAGGCACAGCCTTTACTTCTCAGGAATTTGCTAAGGTAGATACAGTGACCAGAAAGATTCTGCAGACCTAGGCAAACACATCTGTTGTCGGTTTTGGTTTAAGATGGATGGTTGTTTCAATGCAGATCATTGTTTATAGGTTAACTGAAGTAAAACCCAGGCACAGCTGTTGAGTCAAAGGAGAATTTATTTTGATCTTTATTGGCTGAAGCAGTTTATATGTACTGAGACAATCATCTCCCATATGAAGAATACGCAATACTTGGTTTGATGAGGTCTTCCAATAGATATTTAAGTATTAGATTGGCTTATATTTAATATTTGAGTCATAGCAAAAGATGTCTAGTTTAAGCATTCAGTGCCATAGGCTGATCTTTTAGTGCTGTCATGTCTATGGTAGTTGAGGAGCTTTGATTTCTGACACCATGCAAATTGGTCATCAAGGAGTGCTCTCAGCAGCATGCCAAGGACTGTGAAAATGATGTAGAAGACTGAACAACTAGAGAAGGCAGAAGAAGAAAGGAAAATTCTTTATGAACAATGATTGGAGTGAAAATGGCTCCTAAGCAGGTGGTAGGATGAGTGAGTCATGGTTTAATGAAGCGTGTTTTTAAAGTGAGTCTGACATGCCATATACGTGACAGCTCTGGATCAGCATGAATCTCTAGTGCTGTCTGCCAAAATATTTTATTCCAGTTCTAGGTGGATTAGAAATTAGAAATGTTGGCATTTATGCCTCTTAATTTTGTAAAATGCTTGAATAATATTGTCTACTGCATGTGTTATACTTTCTTGTCGTCAGAGCCCTTGCGGCTGTTCACAATAGGAGTACAGGGCTGTAGTGTATATCTAGTTATTAATTACTCGTTTGAGTCTGTCATCTCCTTGACTGCAGTATCAAAGTCATTTAGACTTGATGATAGGTAGTTCAGAGTGTCTTTTCTCTTTAGTAAAGAATCTTGGTATTGCAGTAAAGAATCTCTTTCAACGAAAGGACCAGATGTGATACCAATATTGTGTGGCTATTTATTTTTACCCCATATGACACAAATGTCAGTCTGTCTTTTTTTTATCACAAGGCTCAGTTGATTCTGCAGTGGGTTCTTTTGTTTGTTTGGGGGTTTTTTGCTATTACGGTCTTTTCAATCAGAAGAATATATTTACTGACACAACATTGTATTCCACAATCTCCTGGTCTTTTAAATTGCCAGAGAATTAGAACTGACTTTTTTTTTTCTTAGCTGAAGTTTATTTGTGCCTGAATAATTAAAACATGAAATACAATCAATATTAGTTGTGGTTTTTAACAGCTAAGAGAAGTTTCATATACCATATTTGAATTGGCTCAAGAAACCTGCTGATCTTCAAATTTTAAAAGATCAATCTAATACGTAGCTTTTGCTTTAGCAATTAGATAACTAATGTGTTAATACCAATGAATCTCCTCTGTTTCTAGTGCCAAAACCTTCAAGTTCTGTCTACAAATTTATTGCAGTCTGCAATAGTATGAACTTCCAATTTATTATTGGCACAGAAATCTTCAGCAATTTGAAAATATAGGGGAAAAAAGTAAAACTGAGTTAATATTAAAATAAAGCAAGGGATACTGGCTTGACTGGAAATATGGAAATCTGTATCTGCACTTATTTCAAGATCTGCAGAGTTTCCATTTTGTCATGTAAAGCAGCATAATGCTGAACTTTAAACCCAGTATGCAATAGAGTAGGCAAGGCTGTGCTTACTGGCTTAACGTTGGAACTGTAAGTACAGTAGTGTAAATGCTTTCTAGAGTTACTTTAGACTAGAAGTGTTTCTACTGTTCTTCACTATTACCCATCGCTTCCTTGTTTTAGTCTCCTTTTCCTTGCTGTTAGCTTCTGCATATTGTACACTCTAGCTACTGGGAGCTTCTGAAAACCTCTCGCTAGCCTTATCTACTCAGTGCTGTCCTTTGCCTGCGACTCAGCAAACTGGAGGTAGGCCTCATAGCTAAGTTTATCTTCCAGCATGGTGTGCTCTAAATGTGAAAAATAGCTTTGAATTAGTGGTTACGAAGTGCAACTTTTTGCCATGCAAGCCTAAATATCTTTTGGGCAAGACTTCAGAAAATTAGGGCTTGGTGTCATGATCAGGTCACTGTAGAGTCACAGAGTAAATTCATGTTTGGTGGGCAGTAATAGCTGTCCACGAATATGCTTGAAGATGCAGAAACTGTCATCCTGCAATGAAAAAAATATGTAGTTGCATTTCCCTATATATGTTGAAGATGAAGGGTATATAAATGGTCAGTAACCATGGTTTAACTCTGGAGTTAAATGAGGAGCTCAATTAATTTAATGGAGTTAAAGCTCCAGAGGGAAGGGTTTTTTTGTCTCTTGGGTTTATTGTGTATTTTTGGGTTTTGGGGTTTTTTTAAGCCTTCTTTTTAGTGAGAGTCAGTTGGAAAGAGCATTCCCTAGAAGTTGAAATCTCATTAAATTGTTATAATCTTAATCCATATCCTGTAAACAATGTAGAAATCTAAAGCTGAAAGCGTCCTTAGATCTGTTCTGTAGCTAAAGACATCTGAAATTATTACATAGCAAATTAACTGCTTTCAAATTAAAGTAAGGCAGTAAATTCAGAATTGCATACTTCTTTGAGTATATGTTTTTGAAAATGTCACATTTTTGCTTAATATTAGACATTAGCCTTTGGTATTCTGAGATGAAGCTGGTAGAGAGCAAACCTGTTGCAAGAAGGAAAGCTGTTTGCCTATGCATGTACTTAAATGAGAAGAAGTAATGCAGAAAAAGATCTAATTCATTCTATGCTTGTGTGCACAGTAGATGCTGCATGTTCTTTTCTTTGCTTTTCTGCAATATTTGTAAATTAATGTGAAGGGACCTTGGTGTTGAAGTAGATACAGAAACTTAAATCTGGCAAAAAACCCTAATGAAATCTTTCTTCTTCCTTCCCAAAACACAAGGATTTAAGTTTTCAGAAGTAATTTAATGTAACCAACTTGAGACCCCCCTTAAAAGGGGCTTGATTTTCAGGAAGTGATGAACCACTCAAAAGTGGTCTTAGCTTGACTTGATGAAAAATGAGTGCAGCATCCGTATGGGTAAGTTCTAAATCACTTGCTGTTCAATAGAATGTTATGTAGAATTGTAAAAAAATCAGGGAGTGCTTTTTGCAGTGTTCGTCCTAGCTTCTTTCCAAACAGCTGTGAGATGCTTGGTTTCTGTGGGAGGTAGACTATGCTTTTCAGTCTCAGAAATGCTTTTCCAGCTGTTGAAGAGGTACATGCTGTTAAAGAATCTACCTCCTGTGAAAAACAGTAAGCACAGTCTCAGTATTTGTTGACTATGGAGAAAAGGAAGATATAATAGCTTATTTAAAGCATAATTTCAGCCTCACTTGTTCTAGATATTATCTTTGTAGGAGAGGTTGCGAAGGTAATGGGGTTACTGAAGATTGGGGAAAAATCTTCGTATGTCAGGCTGCATTTGATTTGAAACTACACTTTAATGGATGATAAGCTAGTTTTTTCAAGTTTAGTAGTTTACCTAGCTCGGAATTGTTTGGGCCCTTTTTTTTTTTTTTTTTTTTTGTGGAGTGTGACCTTGCAGAGCTGTACTGTGATATTCCAAGCGAAGCATTTCCTTTCATATTTAGAGCATACATGCAAAAGTAGACCATGCAATACTTACTTTTTAATATGCTAAATATCATGTCCTCTGGAAACAGTTGGATGATTTAGATGGATATTTAACGAGTGATTGAAGGATCACACTAAATTGCAATGCCCCTGAAGTGTCTGGGACTTGTGGATTTACTGGGACCTTTGATTAAAGATGGTTTAGACTGAGGGAAACAGAGTTATTAATTCATAAAGGTGCTAATCAATGACTTACAGAATGGACACATGGGTTAGTGAGTCACAATATGTGGCCTCTGTGGGCTAATTGAGTTTATCTTTGTATGTACTTACTTATAGCCTCAGGTCATAAGAACTCTGCACGTGCCTTAAACAAACATGGTCACTTAATATCTGCATTGCTGTGCCATGCTTCTGGCCATGATACAGGATTTTTGTCTGGTTTTAAGTGATCAAGGGGAAGAATGCCCACTAGAACGAATATGAGAATTTGCTCTAAATTAAGCATCATCTGTCTCTGGCACTTTAGAGTGTACAGAATAAACTTCGTTCTTACCCAGAATTTGGTGCTGTTCCGGAAATGCTCTTATTCATCTTCTTGTCCTTTAGGCACACCTCCTCATTCTCCAAAGGTCAGAAAGCTACTTCATTTTTTTCCACCCAGCCGTTCAGTTTGGAGTATTTCTATCTCCACTCAGATTTTCAAAGCTGAATACTTAAACAAGATGTTGGTGGCTTGGCTTACTTAATTTTTTTTTTTTTTATTTCCTTCCTCCTAAAGAAAACCAGTGGGGAAAGTACAGTCAAGTCTGACAGACCTCTGAAGACTGTAATTAAAATGTCAAAATAAGGAGGGGTTTTATGGCTGTTAATTCTCAAGTTGGAACTGTCTTTTCTTCCTGCTCCTCTTTACACTAGTTCTAATAAAATACAGGTTTTTCAGATGGCACTTCTGACATTTTAATTGCAACATGATGGTTTGGGAAGTGAAAAACAATTTTACAGCTATTCAAATTATGTGCAGATTTAATGTTTATTTCTAGTAAAGTTGATAGGAGTACTGCCCTGAGAGAGTGTCATTATGGGGGGGAACAGGAAACTAACACTTTCATTTCTTGTAGGCCTGAGGATGCGCTTCTCTCCATAGGTAAAGGCTTTTAGTTAGGTTCCCATCCTCTACTCCCTTTTGTTGTTATTGATCTTACATTTTTCCACATTTCAGGTCAGCCAGAACAATATTACCATGATGTCATCCCCATCTCCTGTCCAGCAAGCTCAAACACCCCAATCAATGCCTCCACCACCACAGCCACAGCCATCTCCTCAGCCAGGCCAGCCAACTTCTCAGCCAAATTCAAATGTCAGGTGAGCTAGACTGCAACTTTTGAGGACCTTTGTCAGTGCTGTAAGGGTGAGGTTTTCAGAAGCATTCAATGTATCTTACTCTGTTTTTGTTGAAGTGAATGAATTTTAACATCAATTTCAGTGAGAGCACAGGTGGGATTGTGCTCTGAAAACCCCCCGTTTTGAATAAAGAAGCTGTGTATAAAATCCTTGCCAAGTCTACAGCAGAGCTACAGAGTGCCATAACAATGCTTACTGAAAGCATATCTGCTCACAGGCTGATCGTGCTTCCTTTTCAGATTCTGGCAGGTTTGATTTTTATGCTTATTTTTCAGCTCTGGCCCAGCTCCATCACCCAGCAGCTTTCTCCCCAGTCCATCTCCACAACCATCCCAGAGCCCTGCAGCTGCACGAACACCTCAGAACTTTAGTGTCCCATCCCCAGGTCCTTTAAACACTCCAGGTAAATGATCTGAGAACTATACTGCAGACTGTAAGTTGGGGTATGCTTTGGTAACTGTAATAGTTCCCAGGAAACTTGGTTTTTTTGGCACGATGTAAACTTTAGAGAGCTCTACAAAGCAGCCAGCATTGCAAGTAGTGAACATGTCACATGCACCACGTAACACAACAGCATGGAAATCTCAAATGAAAATCAGCTGAAATCTTTTCTCATCACTGAACTATGTAAAGGGTTTTCCTAACTTCCTCAGTGATACTTAATTTAATGGAGCAAGTTTATAGAGGCATAATGATTCCTTAGTTCCGTGCAGGAAGGAACTCTTAGCAATAGCATGCGATCATAGAGGATGGTAACCACTTAATCACAGGTGGCAGGCTGCTTTGCTCCAAACTACTTTCCTAGGTGTACTCTGACACTTGTGCTTGTCTCTCTCCCAGATGCAATAAGCAGCTTCTGATACTGTGAATGGAAGCGACATGCTCGCTCCTTCTCATACCAGTGCTGTGTGCTCTGCAGTTTGGAAAGCACCAACTTAAGGAAAACTACAGCAAATTCAGTGTGTTGATTTAGTGTTTAATGCACCAGAGTGAAGGACAAAATGAGGACCTAGACAATGGGTATATGAAATGTTGGACCTTTTCAGAAAAAAAATTGTATTACATGGGGATTGCTGTGCTGCCCACAGAACATGTTATTTCTGATTAGAGAGTTGGACAAGCACTTAAACTGTGGAGGACATCCAATTGTGGATTTGGATATTTGATGTGAGCTACACTTAGAGTGCCACATTTCAGATCTAGATTCTGAAATGTGAGAATGCTGTTCTGCAGTATCTTTTATCATCCCTATGACATGCAGTCTTTACTTCTTACCAGGAAATCCAAATTCTGTCATGAGTCCAGCCAGTTCTAGCCAGTCAGAGGAGCAACAGTATCTGGAGAAACTCAAACAGTTATCGAAATACATTGAGCCGCTCCGGAGGATGATCAATAAAATAGATAAAAATGAAGGTGATGTTCCCTATATTTAATAATGCATTTCTCTCTGTCAACTATCTCTTCTGATGAAAGAAGCAGTACCTTGCCTTTTGTGATCGTTTCTATTCTAGGGATTAAAGATGACAGTGAAAGTTAGTTGCTCTTTCTTCCCTATGACTGTAAACATTTTACTGTGAAGAGTGCGTAAAATCCTCATCCTTAAATTCCCATCAATTTTCCTTTACTTCTGATGTTTTTAAGACACATAATGCTTACACAATGCATACGCTTATGATTAGATGAAAGATCTTTGATCCTTGCTGCTTTCTTTGGTGTTGTCTCATGTTTTCACTTTTAACAGTATATTGTATTTATGTCTGCAAGTATGGAAGCTATGCTTGTAGTCAGTGCTCATGTCTCTGATATTATTTCAGATAGGAAGAAGGACCTGAGTAAAATGAAGAGTCTCTTAGATATCCTGACTGACCCTTCAAAACGGTAACTCTTTTTCCTTTTGGCTGGACATCAGATTCCCCAGCTCTTCCAGAAATCTGTTGTTTAGTATCTAGCCATGTTGGCATTGAAGCTGTCTGTGGGGCTCGGATAGCAGAAATGCTTCAGCCTAGGTGGCCATTTTGTGGTGATGAAATTTCTCCTTTTTTGCAGGTGCCCTCTGAAGACACTGCAGAAATGTGAAATTGCTCTGGAGAAGCTGAAAAATGATATGGCTGTGGTACGTAATGCTTTGCACTAGCAAGAGATAAGCAATTCCAAAAGGTCTTACGATTTGGCAAGATAATTTTTTGCATTTCTTGTTGCTCATGCTGTTAAGTAAGGTTGGACAAAACAAGAAAACAAGAAATGGGCAAGCATTTACTTCATGTAAATCACCTGTATGTATCTTTTAACTGAACTTTCAAGTACTTGTGCTTTGTGCAAAGACTTGAGTAATTCTTTCCATGAACTTTTGCAGCTGATTTCAGGACAGACTTCCTAAATGAAAGTTATGGACTTTTTTTTTTTTTTTAATGTTACTCTGTGCAGTTTTGAGAATTCTTTGTATTTCGTGCATTAGAAGTTTGCTACTATAAAATTTGCAGAATCAATAATTAAGATTTCTTTTTTGGTGATGATTAAAAGAAAAGGGGCTTCTCTTGTGTTTTAGCCTACTCCACCGCCTCCCCCAGTGCCCCCCACCAAACAGCAGTACTTGTGTCAGCCACTTTTGGATGCTGTTTTGGCCAACATACGTTCACCAGTCTTCAACCATTCCCTTTACCGTACATTTATGCCAGCTATGACTGCAATTCATGGACCACCAATCACGTATGTATCATTGGCCTGCTGACTGTCTTAAATGTTCATTATCTAAGGAAAAAATATTTAGTTGTAGAAACTATAAAAAGAACAGATGGGTTTATGGATGGGTGCGAGTTATCTCTTTCCTTTTTACACCTGTAAAATATTTGACAAATGTGGTGTTGGCATACCATTTTCACCCAGTCCTTTTGTGGACTGTGTTTTACATAGGGCCCCAGTTGCTTCCCCTCGAAAACGGAAATATGAAGAGGATGAAAGACAGACCATACCAAATGTCTTACAAGGGGAAGTCGCAAGATTAAATCCTAAATTCCTGGTGAACCTGGACCCTTCCCACTGCAGTAATAATGGCACAGTTCATCTCATATGCAAGCTAGGTAAGCAAGAAGAAATTAAGGGCTGAATTCAGAAAGAAGTGCTGAGCTTGACTGTAGAAATTTCAAGTTTTTTGCTAAGTCTTGAATCTTGCCAAGCTGTGACTTCTGCATGAAGTCTGTACTTACTGGATTCATAGCACTACTTAATCCTGACATTCTACACAGCCTGTGTCAGGGTACACCTGGAGATTTCCTTCACACAGATTGTTCCTTTCTTTGCACTGAAGTTGCAAATGGTAATCTCATTTAGTGTCTAGAAAGTGACTTGTTGCTAGGAACAATCTTGAATTGTGATTTGACCTATACTGATACGTCAGAATTATTCTGCCTCCAACAACTAGGACAGATCTAGAGAATGGGTGAGTTAATTTTTGGCAGGGTCTGTTTCAGTTTGTACTAATGATCAGTGACAATGGTGTATGTTCAAGAAAGAAATTAAATTGCATATTTTTTTGTCTTAGCTGTATCAACATAAAGTGTTACAGTCTTTTAACTTGTTTTGCTCTTTGGATTCCAATGGGGAAAATAGATTCTTTCCTTCTCCCCTTCATTTGAGAAATCTGAACTGGTTTTATCCTGAATATTAGTACATAAGGCACTTAATTTTCAAAAATGAGGTGTCTTAGTGAAGTTCAGCTGATGAAATGGTGAGTTGGCAAGGTGCAGAAATGTGTAAGAGAGCGCTATGTTTGCCAGGCTTCTTTTCCAAGAATTTAAGAGCGTTGTTAAAGCAAGCAATGAGATTGCCTTCCAGTAAAAATGGAAATGTACAGCCTGGTTCCTCCTTGGGGTTCAGAGGCTAGAAACCAAACTGAATTATGCACAAAAACCCCTCTGTCCAGCAAGGAATGTTTTGTTCTGATGGGAAGTGTGTTTGCATTCTAGATGACAAGAATCTTCCGAATGTCCCACCACTACAGCTCAGCGTTCCAGCAGACTATCCAGATCAGAGCCCTCTGTGGATAAAAAACCCTAGGCAGTATGGTATGAGGATGCTAGCGTGACATTTGTTGGGCATGTGTGTGTGGTAATAGTGGGAAAATGTGAACACCTAATGTTACTCTTTTTTAAATTTTTTTAATTATTTTTGTTATAACTCTGTTTATCTGTTTTTTTTTTTTCTTTTTTTTTTTTTTTCCAGCAGCCAATCCCTTTTTGCAGTCAGTGTATCGGTACATGACTTCAAAACTATTGCAACTTCCAGACAAGCATTCAGTCACGGCACTCTTAAACACCTGGGCACAAAGTATTCGTCAGGCCTGCCTCTCTGCTGCGTAACATCTCACTTTCTAAATTGTGACACGAGAAAGAAGGTCTCAACAGCTGGCCTCTTCCACATGCCACTGGAAAATCACATTTTGGGGAGGGTACTTCAGAAGAAAGAAGCCTTATGTTGTTTTGTTTCTAGGTGTCAGGTTCAGTAGAGAACCTGATGTTAGATTTAGCTTTCATGCTTTTTATCTTCTGCCTCTGTGGACTTTTGCCAGCATTTTCAAATATACAAAATGTGTATATATGGTTCTTGAGACTGTATTAGGATGAGTTTTTATTGTCTTCTTAGAGAAGAAATTATTTGTGGACTTCCATCGGGGAGTCTGGTTTAAGAGGGAGTAGGAAGAGAATGTCCTAATTTGCTTCCAAGTTTGCTCAGTGCCAGTATTCCTTTCACACTGTATGTTTTGTGACCTGATACTGCCCCAGAAATAAATTAGCTGCAACTAGAATGTGCTTGTAAACTTCTCAGTGGTTGCAGGAATCTTTTGCCTATTAGCTTTGCCCAGAGATGGGATAAATTGCAGCCTTGTAAGGCATCCCTCAAATATGTGAGATAAACCTGGATAATGATACTTGGAGGTGGGAGGGGAAACAAAAAGAGCAAAAAAAGTATTTTATAGCTTATTTTCAACACTACTTTGTATAAACGGTTTTTGGTTACTACGGACCACATGTTTCTCACTCCAAAAGAGTGAGGTGATTCAAAAGAAGAGATACTAATGTGCACACTGACTTCCTCTATAAACTCAGTAAATGTGTATGTAAAGGTGTGAGGGGGGAAAACCCAATGGTATAAAGCCCTAGTAACATGAATCAATCTTTTACTAAGAGTCTCTCTGAGCTGTCTGGCTTCCTTTGGGAGTTGATGCTGTTCAGTGAAACTGCTTCTATGCCAGATCAGTTTGTTTAAAAGGAGAAGGAAAAAATCAACATAGCTCAGGAGTAGAACTGACAACTAATATTTTGTTCCTTGAGCAATGATGGGCACTCAAGTCAGTCATCAGCTGCTTTATTGTTGGGCACTTCTAATGAAAACATTTGTCATGAGTAACTCTAATTTCATGTATAGTGTGATTTGTTTTATTTTCCCCATGCTTATAAGTGGCTCGCTCTTAATTTCCTGGTGCAGAAGAATTTAAAATTTCATATGTTCCCCTTATATCCTGTTCCATCTCTATTGTGCAGCAAACCTTAAAGAGTAGCTGGGCTCTCTTATACTAGCGTCAAGAAATTGCTATGACCTTCGTAAATCTGTGTGGTGTCATCAGTTTTAGGATGTTTTTAAATGTGGGTACGTAGTAAGCACTGACTGAGGCAGCAGAATGCTATCAGTATTTTGTACATGAACTAATGCATTATCTGTTTGTTTCTATTGTAATAAATTTATTATTATTCCTGTGTTGGATGCTAACATTATACTGCTCTTCCCATGTTGATCCTTGGATACCAGTTCTGTTGTGTCCATTGGATGGTGGTTACTTTTTTCTATGGTAAGTGAAAACTCGTATGCTTTGAAGGTTAGGGGAGGAAATCCTAAATGGCTCTTTGTGCCATGCAACACCATCTTTACTCTCTTCACAGTGAATTGGAAGACCTGGTCAAGAGATTAGTAATTGCATCTACAAACAAAAGATGTAGTTTGTTTAACTGGTACTGTTACATGTCTAACTCTTTCCTTAGGGCAAAAGAACCAGCGGCACCAATACAGTTTGTAATACATAATTAAGTCATAACCCTAGAAATGATTGGGGGGGAGCAGCTAAAGATATTGCTGGGGTCTAACACTGAGACATTTAAAGAATTTATTTCTTAACAGTTTGGTTAAAACATGTCTGGAAATAGATGCACAACATGCACGTCCCTTACATTTACAATAACTTTCCTAGTGTAGTTTTCAGAGCTGTCACTGCAGTACCTTTCAGTTTTCCTTCAAACAAGATGTAACGAGATGTTAGACTAAGGGGGTCGGCATCTTGACATACAACACAACGACTTCTCAGTTGGGAAATAAATCGTGAAAACTGGAAGTGGGTCACGTACCCAGATCATGTCAAATTAATAGCTGTGTACCATATAGCTGCCTTCCTTTTCTGTTGATGGGCAAACTGTCATAAAGCTCCTTATAGATCTTGCTAAAATAAAAAATACAAGCTTATTCCCAAATTCTTGGAAAGAGGCACCAATGTGGGAGCAGATTAGTATTAATGTCTGGGTACTTTACTGGGTGTTGGGGCATTAAAAGTGAATTCAGAAAATGCCCCTGTTATGAAAAATTGGGGGTTTCGTGTCTTTCAGAAATGCACAAATCTGTTACGAAATCAGAAATTCACAATTCTGATCCTTTCCTTTCTTGAACAAATGGCATACAAAATTAATTCATAATCAGCTTTTACTTGAAATGAGGTGACAATAGCAGCTGAAAAAATCTATCATGAACCTTCAGTGTAAATGTTCAAAGAAGTAATAAGGAAACGAGAGAGAATGAAGAGTGAGAGTGTTGAATTAAAGTGCAGTTCAGTGAAGATGGCTTCTTTGAATATCCTGAGTTTCCCCTCTCTCTCAACAAAGCTGTTCACTAGTGTTTCAGTGGTGGCAAAACTGCCTTTTTTATAATAGGCACTGGTGTGGTAATCAGACCACAGAGAGGAATGCAGCAAATCAGTGTTACTGCGATTACCTGAAACCATTTCTTTTTCAATTAGGAAGGGGTTTGGGTTAGGATTACTGCCCTACTGGTGAGCTCAGTGATTGTGTGTTGGACTGTCCTGTCTAGCTGATGAGACTTTCAGCTTCGGTTAGAACTTCATTCCTCAAAGTTTTGGCATTTTGAATGAATTACTGTTTTTCTTCATGAAACAAGGATATTGTGTGATTGTCTGTTCTTCTGCTTTTCCAAACTTGTTATCTGACACATAGCTTTTCTGTGTTAAAGTCTAGTTTTGTATCTTTGCTCTGTGAGTTACCCTGACATTGCCTAGCACAGCCAGGCAGCAGGTGCATCAGTAGCTGCCAAGCTTAGCACAACGCATCCTGCATTTTGGCTCCCCAGGGCTGCTTGCTTTTGCTAGGCTCTCAAGACTGGATGGTTAAGGGCAGAACACCGGGAAAACATCGTTGCAGACACCCCTTTTGGGAATTTCTGTGCTAATGAATATGCCTTCCTGTTTTGAAGCACCATGCCTATGTTTTCTGGACTCATCCTTCTCCCAGTACACTACTGAAAATATTTATTCTTTAATATTAATGTACAATAGTTATTTTACAGGATATGGTGATGCTTAAATTTAGGAAAGTATATTTTTCTCCATCTTCCAAAACTATTGACTCCCACTAGAATGTAGTGTTAAAACGGCTCTGACCTGGTTCATTCTGCACAAAGGAAAAAGGATTTTCACTTGTAGATCATTTTTTATGGGCCAAATTTGACCATAAAAGGCATGAAATGTACTGGAGAGCCAATACAGCTATACTGACAATGTGAGCTAATATAATTGATTTGCATATCAGTGGATTAAATTCAAAGAATTCTTTTGATTCTTTTCTGGTAAGTGCTACCTTCTGCAGAGTTTTGTATTGCCGTATCTCCTCTTGCTGTTTCTCACCTGTATGAGATCTGTGAGGTTTTTTGGAGAGTAACATCTCGCATGGATGGCACCTTAAAGCACCAAATATTTGAGAGGGGCTATAGGAAGCAGCACGGTTCCTGTCATTTGAGTCTTCTTTATAAATATTTGAGAAAGTTATTCAAGCTCTAAATAGCCAATGTCTTCACAGAGTGATTCAATCTTTGGAACAACCCACTTAAAGAAACATTTCCTACTCTAATGATGTCTTTAAGACAACTGCAGATCTTTTGCTAAAACTGGTTGTGCAAGATGAGCAAGTCCTTTCTGGCTGGAGTAGAGAGATAATAAGAGAGGAGGGCCCTACCTAACTGTTTTTGGCTGTTTGCTTTTGTTCTGTGTTATTTACTGTCATGTCTGTTTAGGCAGCAGTTGCTGTCTTGCAGATTGTCCTATCAATTAGCGCTTGGATAGGGGCTGTCTTACTAAAGAAGGTACTAAAAGAAACAGCCAAGAACAACAATCAATCTTTTAGACTGTTATTCTGCAATGTATTGTTTTCTAACTGCAGTAGCCTTAAAAAATCATCTAACAGGAGAAATGGTAACTATGTATGTTAATCTTCATCTGAAGATGAGTGTCTATTCTTCATTGGTTTAGGGCTATTAAAAATTATGAGGAGCAGTTTTAAAACACAGAACGGTGTGCGTCTAAAACTTGCTCTGTGTGTGCATAGATATATAATACACATAAAACTAAGATTTAAACCTGAAGTGGCAGTAATGCTGTTGTGTTGCCTGCTGGGAAGTGTGAATGACAGGATGCCCAGACCATAGCTTTTGCATTGTGTCGTGTTCCTGCCCATGCCCTCCAACCGCCACCCTTTGCAGAAGTGTTTTCTAGATTCAGAAGTTCTGGATGGCCTTTACCTATAGAACTTGCACCTCTGACTTCCACTAACATCCTGCAAACTTATTGTGAGGAAAACTAAAAACAAAAAATATTTTAAAAGGAAGATTTTCATAGTAGAGTACTACATTAACTATTTTAAATTGGTTCAAGAATATTAGGCAGGTTTTTAGAGGCATTTCCTTACCTGGTTTGACTGGTTAGTAGTCTCCTGGAAGGTTTTTGTTCTTGTGGATGCACTGAGGAAGAGAGACAACCTACCTCTTTGCTCTTTTTCCAGAAAACTCATTATTTGCTATAAATAATGTGAATTTTGCAGGCTCCATGAATTAGTAGCAGTCCAAATTTAGTTTTGCATGTGTTTCTAAATGTTTCACTTTGATGCCAGTATGATTAGTAAAATGTGCATGATAAAACTAATAGAAATGCTAATACAGCCACATAACAAAATGGTAAAATGTCTTGTCTGATGACTGATTTCTGATCTATCCCAAAGTCAGTCATGCCTTTTTTTAAGCAGTCTTACATGCTGAACAGTGATTTGAACAGGTCATTGCAGAAGATGAGGTAGAAATTTTGTTATCTGCAGAAAAAAAAGAGAGAAA